AATTATATTTATCTATATTATAAAAAGGAAAGGTTTGATTATTTGTTTGTAATTAATAAACTCAAAAATTCTTTATTCGATTTTTAAAATCTTTTACCTACTCCAAGCTAGCATTATCAGCGAGTAACATGATAGCCCATGTTACTCGTTACGGTATTATTTAAAAAAATCCGTACGTAGCAAGGGATGATGTTTTATAAAGTCTCAATCATAATAATATCTGAGTATAAATATAATTTTCTGCAATTATATTTATCTATTCTTTTACCTACAGAATGCTACATTATCAACGAATAACATGTTACCACATGTTACTCGCTGATAAGTTATTTTAAAAAAACATCGTACGGAACAAGGGCTGGTATTTTATACAGCCTTAATCGTAATAATATCGAGAGTATTAAAAATGTAAGATAATTATTTCCATAGCAGATATATATCTATACTAGCTATTACCTGTGACTTCGTCCATATTATCGGAATAAAAACTAGCCTTTACCTACTCTTCTCCTTTTATTCCATGACCATTTTTTATATAAAAAAATTTACCTTTTAACAATTTAATACATAAATTGTGAAGGTATATCGTTATTATGTAACTATTAATTGTGTAACTGATTTCGGTGAATTTATTTATTACAATTGAAATCATTTATTTTATTTCATGGAATTTGGAATTACAAACGCTTGCCGGCTCATTTTAAGGGAAATAGTAACCGTCGCTTATACGAGTAGACAGGATTAGCACAATGGACATCAGAGAATACATTGTGACACCCATAGATTGTATTGTTACTTAATGACAGAAATTTTAATTAAGATAATTGTAATAAAAAAAGGCAATTGTAATTCATATAATTTATTTGCAACTATTATTGAATTACATGTATACTTCTTTTGTCACAAAACATCGAATAATTGTATAAACATAATAGTACAATAGAGCCATGTGTTCACTACGCAATAGTCACTGAAACGTCTTTAATTGATTTTACAATCAGGATCTACATGTGGATCCAGGAATTCTCTTTCTTTTCAATCCACATAGATCAATTTTCCCTCTTGTTTGATACTTAACATTTGACAACATGCCACAACAGCACGCGGCGTCAGAAGAGTTAAAAATAAAAAAAAGCTGCAATCATGATGAAAGCTCAATATGAAATTAATTAACCCATTTCGTAAATGTAATTAAATTTTATTCATCTATTTATGCATAAACATATAAACATATTTTTATTTGTAAAAATAACAAGATAAAAAATTAAACAAAATCTATTCAGGATTGAAGTATGTATCGCGTAATAAATACACAACTAAAATCAAAATACGATCAAATTAAGAACCTTTTCCTTTATTTAAGAAAATTAAAAAAAAAACATTATGTTGTCTCTTTATGTTGTGATACATATTATATAGCATGTTGCACGTTACTTGTTGCACAGTGAACACACGATTTAAACTACACAATAATGGATACAACAAACACAACAATCTATTTATCACACACAAAGATTCAAACTTCGAGTTGTTGAAATGTATAATAATGAACTAAGAAAATTACACTGTAATTTATATAGAATCGTAATTAGTGTATTTTAATTAACCGTTTCCATAAAATACATGTAACAAAACATAATAATTACATACGATATGTAATGTACCATGAATTTTAATGGAAGCGACTGTCGCATAAACAATAGTCATGTTGTTATACACTTTGGTATGAATATTCTTACCTAGCATAAAATGAATAAAACTTAGCAGAAACCTTCCGCATTTAAAACATGATGTACCTACTTGTTTTAATGTACCACAAAAAATAATGCAGCGACTTAACTCGTGGATATATTGAAAGGTCTTTTAACTTTTTTTAACATTCAAATAAATTTTCATATTTCTTAAGTAAATAAACGTAATATGTCTTTTAATTTTTTTTATAAACATAGACACTCACACGCACACATGCGCGTACACGCGCTAGCACACACACGCACATACATATAAAGATCAATAAATAAACATTAAATCCTCATTATTTATTACTCGTTCAGAAAAAATAAGATATTCATGACCAACATTTCTATAAGTAAACATTTGATATTTATTTTATTTTAATAAAATACTTTGGAAGAACGTTTTTCATAGACAAAAGTTACAGATGCAAATTCACATTATCACACAACAAGTTCAGTAGGTACACAATACACCATTTTTAAAATACTTTAAAGCTCGATCTCCCCATTTCGGGATAATTAGAGTCCACGCAGTCCAATTATATTTAAAAAAAAAAAGAATACCATGTTCGATATCCAGATATAATGGTATATCGGAGGCCTTATAACCTTTTTTTCGTATGTTTTAAAATTATTTAACAACTTAAAGCATCGTCACATTATTTACGAGCTCGTATGTGGAATTATTAATTAAAAAAAGAAATGCGCACAGACCCTAATACCTTTTATTCCTATCTAAAACTTAGAAACTCTCTCTCATTAGTAGTAGTAGGTACAAGTTTAGAGAACTATTGAAAAAAAAGAAAAAAATTATAAAAAAAAATAATTATTAACTAAATCAAATCCTTACAGTAAAGATATAAAAAGTTAAACGTAATGTACGTTTTGTTCTACACTAATTAGTACTTAATTATAATTAAAAAAAAAATCAGCGTTATAAATGACAAAATAGTTTTCATTTCAAATTAAAAATATTCCTCAACAGCATTTTAATTTAAAATGTAAACTAGTTGAAACTGTTTGAAAAAATAAGGTAAATGGTTACATATAAAATACAGAAAACAATTTGCTTGTAAAAGTCATAGAAAGTCGCTTAGAAAAATATAATGTATGTCTAATAGTAACACGTATTTATTGATACATTTAATACCTTATATATTTAATTTATTCACTAAACAAGCGTATTACTTTGTTATATAATATAATTTTTCTCATATAATACTGCCATTCACTTTTTAATTCTATGTAAATAAAATGTTGATAGGAAACCAAAATGTAGAAAAGATGGACAAGTTCCAACAGATTTTTCAACCTAATAATTCCGTAAGAAAATATTACTAATAAGAAAAGAAAATAAATAAAGAAAGAAACTTATATATGTTTTTTTACTACTATTTCTTACTATCTATACTAATATATAAAGTGGAAGAGTTTGTTTGTTTATTTTGTTTGAATGCGCTAACCTTTGGAAATAACAATTGGATTTGAAAAATTATTGTTGCATGGCAAAGCCGCGGGATACAACTACTTAATGATACTGGTATTAATTATTACTGACAGGGTAAAAGTGACGTAAAATTAATTTACCAAGTAAAAGATTACATCGTAACATGAAATTTATTATACCAAATGTCATTTAATATCAAGTTCAATATAATGCATTTTTTATGCTGAGCTTGCGAGTTCCTTATCTATTTAAAAAATAAATAAAGTTGATGAAAATCTACACAAAGAAATATAAAGTTTTGTCTACTATTATCAGTATCTACTTCTGAATACCCCGTTAGGGATTACAGTCATAAACATATTTATGTTTATCCACAACAATAAAACTTATTAATGTTTACAGCTGTCGTGAACGGAAAATATGTATACAATATCTGGAAATCCACATATTCACAGAATCAGCTAAAAAATTACCTGAATTTATCCGAATAATATTATAATCTTTCTAATATTTTGTAACTTGTCAATATCCATTTATGTCTGTACTGGGTATTTCAAAACAAATAGATTGCAATTTATTTGTGTTAACATTCGCAGTTTGGGTGCTGAAAGGTTAACACTAGGCTACGAGTAGCGTTCTAACAATTTGCCTGAAGATGCCTTGTTTAGAAGTGAAACACGTATCGCAAAACGTGCGTGAACAAAATAGCAGTCGGAGATTGATGGTTAATATGGAAGATTGTGGAACTTCTGGTAGTAATAGTTGTGGTCAATCTTCGAGTGTACGTAGTCACACACATATTAATGGTAGCGGAATTAAATAATTCGAATACAACTAATATAAATTCTAAATAACCAATGCCTAGATGTGCATGAAGTGAGGTGCAAGGCGAACTTGACAGCTGGATGCGCGGTATTAATATGGGAAACCATAGATAACATCTGCGGTCCTTGAGAAAATCAAAATTTTTGGCATTCATGTTAAAAATCGATTTTGAGTTACAAATTTTACAACGCAAATTATTACAAATTACAAATTATTTTTCTTTCTTTTCATTTCACCATTTAAAATACGGTACTTCGAAAACGTATGTGTGTGTTTTTAATAAACTCTCTAAAACAAATAACATAAAAAATAACTCGTCCTTTTAACAATCAAGTAGTTTAGTAAAAATGTTATAAAAAGTTGTAGTTTACTTTAGACTCTTGTAACTCAATAAGTTTTTACGAATAGATTACGAATTTACATTGAAAATGTTATAATATGTGTATATAGAAATATTATTTGCTTCAATAATTTGTGTTATGCTTGGTTAACGCAGAGCTTCACGTGAACAGATGAAAGAGGTGTGTTCAATCCTCACTTGAATTGAATCGACATAAAAGGAAAATGTTCAAAACAAATTAATACAGATTTGAATAAATATTTTGTTTTCATAAATGTCTAATTTAAAAAATCCTTATGTTATAAAGAAAAACGTTATTTTAAACATTACATAATATAAAATAAATAAAAATATCTAAAACAAGATGAAATGTGTCGTAGTAGTAATATTTACTAAAATATCTAAATTAAACTAAATCAATAAACAAATTTAAATGAAACAACATTGTATTAAATTATTAGATAATAAATTAACATATTTTTGAATAACGAATACCCAGTTATTATGGAGAATAACGCCATTTAGAATCTGTTTATTTTATGTTAATTTCATTTTAAGTTTATATAATAAATCCAAGTTATTTGAATACATAAATTTAAGATTTGGTTTTATAAGTACGAACCTAAAATCACAAATTTTTTTAATATACAAACTCAAAATTATGAATTAATGCACGAATAACCAAGACTTTTTTTAATATACATATTAAATAAATTTTTAGTAAATTAATAAAAAAAATGTATGTGATCAATAATTTAAAGTTTTTTTGTCTCACAAACGTAAACCTCATTGTTTCAAACATGTATCATTTCTATCAGTAATTCTTTGTCAATTTTATATATATATATATATATATATATATATATATCTTTATTTTTTGTAAACCATGTTAAAACTATAATCTCAACTTATTTTCTAAAAATAGTTACTTACCTAATTGTTTTCAAGTCATAGTACCTGAATTATATTCAGAAATATTAAATAACAGCAGTCACATCGATGAAGAGTACCAGGAATACAGAAGATTACAGGACGTGTAAGTTTTCACAGGACTTCGACTTTGAAATGTCATTGATGCAAATCTTTTGAAGTATTTCCCGAGCAATGCTGAGAGAGATGTGCGTTCGAGAACTGGCCAGTTTCGACGGTTTCGCCTCCTATTAAAACAAGAAATTGACTTTTTAGGTTGATCTATGTTGATCACTATTACATAAATATACATAATAGATTTCGTCTATATGTATATGCACAAATGGATGCACGATATTTCATATAAAGAATATTCTTGTAACTGTAGCGATTAGAAATTTGCAAATAAGAATATTTCAATACATTTAATTGCAAAAGTTGTCAGATTGTTAGAAATTAGTTTAAAATTTATTTAAGTACGCTCTGCTATATTTTTATTTTGACTCTAATTGTGTAATGTATTACAAAGTTGTTTGTGAACATGGATGTGTCGGCATCCGTATGCCTGTGTATGTGTGTGCGTGCAATTTTAGAATGGCATCCTCGCTATTTAATACAAACGACCGACGGGACACGCCAATTTATTAAATTTTACACTATTTTTGAATTTGCATAAAAATATTAGTAGAAGTCTATGATTTTGTGAGATTTTAAATTATTTTATGTATTTTGCTTGATATTTTATTTCGTCGAAAAAAGTGTAAGTTCTTTATTGTATTTTTTTTATATAATCAGCATTTAAATATAACTCGCCAGATAATTTGTCAGACCCCTCCCTAATTTTATGCTTGCGTAATTAATGACGCACCTTTCGCGACAGATGTTTCCTGCTATATATAAAATAATTACAATGTAAACAATTTCATTCGAAAAGGTAGGTACTCCATCTATTTTTTAAATGAAACGAGAAAAATGACAAATACAAAATATTTTAGACATGGGAATTAACTTCCCATGTCTAGGCTCTCGTAAAGTTTAAAATTTTTAAAAGACACTTGGAGAAATTTCGAATAAATAAATAAATTTTTATAACGTTATAATTTATATATCTATTTTAAATTTACGTATCACGATCCCTATCCATTTATACACTTTTTCTACCAAAAAACAGACATTGAAATTTTATTTCAATAAATTATCAGAAACACTATGTTAATATAAAAAAATAAAACTACTAAAGATTATATTTGTTGAAAACTATATAGAATAAATTGGGAAAAAAAGCATGTATTGTATACCCAAATTAAACGTAACAATTAATTTAATCACAGGAAATTTGGGGATAAACGTGGCTTGTTTTCAATTTACGCGATCCAATTAAAACTGTGAAGAAGCAAACAATTATCTTTTCAACATAAACACCTAAATTCACGCTTCGTTACGTGCGGGTGGGGTAATGAAATGCGATACGTGAATATCGACGTACGTTTATTGACCGAACAACAATACAAACAGATCCTAATTAACGCGTCGCAATAAGCTGTTTATTTATTTTTCCATGGATGATTATAAACTATTATAATAAATACAATACCAACGTATTTTCATATGTAAATATCTAATATAATAATTAGGGGGAAAGGGATTGTTAGTAATGGAGACTGAGAATCCCATTGCTAGCAATATACCTAACCAGGTCGACCTCCTCGCGGTTCCCCCTGGAAACTATAATGGTTAATTCCTGATGAATTCATCATGATGGGCTAACTGGCCTGTTTTCATTCTTATCTATCACCCTTCACTGGTGCTCCGCCAGCGTATCCCGTTAGCGCAGGCGGGGTTATCATACCATTATCACCCAAAAAAAAAATAATAATAATTAATTGAATTTAATATCTACCTTCTAAGAATATTTAATAATTAAACCAATATTAAATCAGAGGGAGACTTTGTACATAAGTCTTTTGTTTGGGCACCTCAGTCCCATTCGTGTTTCTATCGTTAAGCAGTTCTGTTTGCATGGCTGTGTTTCGAAAGGTGAGATATGGTAGTGAATTTACAGGGTACAGAGGAAGAAACAACTTAGTCTTCAGGAATGGCAACGCATGGGGGGTATCATGGGCACAACAGTATACTCTGTTATGTCCATGGTACTACTTATGTCTATAGGCGACGGTTACCGCTTTCCATCAGATGGACGGTTAGATTGTTTGTCACTCTAAGTAGCATAAAAAATTAATAACAGAAAAAAAAACGTTTAGATATCTTTACGTTTTGTATCTCAGTAGTGAAGCGTAAATGGCTTCCAAATTTAGAGAAACATCATCATTATTATATCAGCCTTTAAATGTCATAAACATAAGCATCCCCCTTGGGGGAGTTTTTCTAGTAGTTGCCATACTTGGCAGGTGAATAGGTATGTTATTTTCTAGTAACTAAAATATCTACAACCACAAAAAAATATAAAGTTAAAAATAAATTAGTTTTTTTTTTTTATTAGAATTATTTCCATGTCATAATTAAATAACCATTTGCTAAGATATCATAACAAATACATGTTCCACCTAATGGTTTTCCTGTATACGATAACTCTATTTCCCTCGTGTATAATGTTTCGTGTTTGTATAAAAATAATACAAAATGTGCCTTACCCACCCTTTTCTCTATTCCTAAGCGCAAACAAATGTTACAAATTTCCCCATTTATCGTTATATTTTTTTTATCCTTATTACACATTTCACCATTAGTCGCTACATCGAGACAAACAAATCGATAACCGTGTAGTATCTTGTTACTAAATTGAAATATTATTTCTTTTTCTTGTATTAAAATGATTTGCACAGATAAAATAATATAAATATATGTATATGTATTATTTAAATTTAAAATTAACTTTATTTAAATAGAATTATACAAAGGTTCATTTAAATTTATTGATACATAAATGTAGTTTTTAAAAGTTATCTATTGAAAAAGAACGATAAGAAAATTAAACTATTTATATAGTTAGTTGGCATCTTAGATTATGTAAAGTGTTTCCATACAAATGCTGCAAGAAAAGCGGGTCAACTTTGTCATACAGTTTTGCGTGATAAATAGTTACGACTGTTTCCTTTATAACTTCTATATTTATTTTGTCTTATAATTTGTACACCTTTTAATTGCGTAAAAACTCGTTTTATTTATTAAATAATTAAATATAGATACGTCAAGTCAATCTATATAATCTAAGACTATATTTTATATATATATAGCACATATAAAAAAGGAAAGAAAAGAGGAAGAAGTAGATTATTATTATGCCATTCCTGAGGGCTAAGATATTATGCCCATTTTTATTTTTTATTATTATTAATATTAATTATTTAGTTTCACTGGCAGAATACTACGTTAAAAGACTGCTAAGGATTTCAATTTTATTTGTAGGTACATACTGTTTGCTATTACGATGAGAAATATAAATATTATATTTATTAATTTTTCATACCTGTTTCCCAACTTTTTTAGCCTGTTTCTTCTCCCTGCTCTCCTTCAATCGTATCTGTTTAAGAATTCCAACTAGTAGTTCATCCACATTGTGCTGAATACCCGAAGAGGTTTCTATAAACTTGCAGTCTTTTGTTGTCGCCAAAGCTTTTCCCTCTGTTAACAAAAACAATTGTAAAATTCTAGAAGTAACAGAACTACTAGAGGGAGACGAACTAAATCTTTATATAAAATTTGTCTGCTTGGAAACCCCTGTCCCATTCGTGTTTCTGATGTGAAACAGTTGTGTTTGCATGGCTTTGTTTCGGTTTGAAGGGTGGAATATGGTAACAAAATAACAATGAATAGAGGCATAACACCTTAGTCCTCAGGAATGGCAACGCATTAAGGGTATCATGAGCAACGCAGTATACTCTGTTGTGTCCATAATACTGTTCACGTCTGTAGGTGATAGTTACCACTTTTCACCAGGTGGGTCGTCAGCTTATTTGCCAATTTTAGTTGCATAAAAAAACTGATTCTAAAAGTTCTTTGTCTAGTATAAATGTCTAGATCATATACATATAGATAGGACTCAAAAATGTTTCATAAAATAGTTTTTTTATAGTGAGTGAGGGTGTACAAAAATTTGACGCTATTATCATCGATCTTGCAATGAGATTACGACTACGGGAACATTACTCATTAATGATGAATACTTGTCTTACTCTTGCCAAATTAGCCTTATGGACTTTGTACAAAAGTCGATTGCTTGGGTACCTCTGTCCCATTCGTGTTTCTACCGCGAAGCAGTTGTGTTTGCATGGCTGTGTTTCGGTTTGAAGGGTGGGATATGGCGTGAATTTACTGGGTACAGAGGAATAACACCTGAGTCCTCAAGAATGTCAACGCATGGGGGGTATCATGGGCAAAACAGTACACTCTGTTATGTCCATGGTACTGCTCATGTCTATAGGCGACGGTTACCAGTTTCCATCAGGTGGGCCGTCAGCTTGTTTGCAATTCTAAGTTGTATAAAAAAATGGTCCATCTGTAACACTATTTTATCAGTTATATACTGTTTTCTTATCAAGATAGCCAAGCCGGATTAAGTGAGTACCCATTTTTATCATAAACTACGAGTTAGAAATTTTTTACTTGCTAATTAGGAATGCATTCTGTACACTACGTATTCTTGATACTATTATGCCCTCATCAAATTGTCTTTATTGCACACATTTATCAATTCTGCCAATTAGGAACTGTTTTCATGTCAAATAGGAGAACATTCTACTCACCGCTATCCGATACTTGTCTTGCCCTTGTCAAATCGGCTTTATTGCCAACCTCTGTCACAAATCTACCAGTTATTTTCTACCTTTTTGTAAAGTAATGGAACCCGCTTTGCCTTTACCTAGTTGATCTCATTACCCAATAGAAAGCAATATATAGTATAGTAAATAGAATTGAAGACTATTATTACGACAAGTAGAGTGCTCCCCACTTTACCATTCTTCAATCATTAATCATTACTTGTCTTGTCCTTTTCAAGTCGATTATTGCCTACCAGTAATTATAATTCTGGTAGTTAAAGATTACTTGCTAAGTAGAAAAGACTTCTACTCACCATTGGTCGATACTTGTCTTGCTCTTGCCAAATCAGCCTTATTGCCCACCAATACCACGGTCCTATCGGCTATGAACTGTTCTTTTGCCAAGTAGGAGAGCAGCTCACCGGCTCTGAGGAACGAACTCTTGGCCACCACGGAGTATACCACGACGCATGCGTGCGGCTCATACGTTGATAGACAATTTTCCACCTATTCGAATAAAAAGATAAATGTGAGTCAAGTACTTTTACAAATACGATAATTATTGAATAATGGTGGAATTACTATTTACATTAATATAAATTCATCAACTCGTGTTTCCTTGCATTGTTTTTATATATTCTTTATTGCACTTAAACAATACATGCGACGATTAGTTTAAAAACTTGTTAGCAAGGGAGGACTTATTTCTGAAAGAGATCTCTTCCAGCCAACCCAGTGTATTTATAAAGAAAATAATTTAATTTGGGTAATTTTGCTTTTGTATGCTTGCATGGCTGTTTAATTTAAAGGGTGGGATATGGTAACAAAATATTGTAGTCCAAGTTAATAACACGCATGAGGATTATCATGGAAGTGAAAAAGTTTTCTGTAATGTTCATGCTGCTATTTAATAGATTCATGTAGATGATTATATACACAATTACATAAAATTATATAAAACTGTACTAAAATATCTACTGAATTACTCGTAGGTATTGTTTTGCGGAAGTCCATATCACTGGTTAGTCGATTTTACAATTATTTTTTTAAATTACACTGTCATTAGTGTGTGTGCGGCTGCCAACACTCGAAGATTGACTATTCATATTACCAGATGTTCTACAACCTTCCATATTAGCCATCAATTTATCTACTAAGTCACAGTAAACTACAATCAATAGATAAAAAAAAATTAAACATTTTTATGCAACATAGAATGGCAAATAAGCCGACGGCCCACCTGATGGAAAGCGGTAACCGTCGCCTATAGACATGAGCAGTACCATAGACATAACAGAGTATACTGATTCCATAAAGGCCAAAGTTTGACTAATAATAATACTACCTATCATACTCTCAAAACTTCAGCTCGTAATTCGATATGTTATATCTATATCCGTATTTGCTGATCTCAATAGTACAGGTACATACGGCACCTCGCAAATACCAGGATCTCGCGGGATTGGAAACATCGATACCGCAAATTCCGGGATTACATGTAACCTGTGGGTTTGGATGCCTTGTCTATGTACTTATCAAGTACAATGCATATAAATCAGAGATCTATTTATAGGCAAATTTATATTGACAATCTTGGTATTATGAGCTATTCAATACTTGTGTATTAAGGCAGTTCTCAATTTCTAGTTATTGTATACCTGTACATTACATATATATACATATATATGTATCATCATCATTATTTCAGCCATTATCCGTCCTCTGCTGGACATAAGCCTCCCCATAGACTGTCATAAAGAACGGTTCTGAGCCACCTGCATTCACTGACTCCCTGCAATGCATTTCAGGTCATCACTCCATCTAGTGGGGGTTTGTCCAACACTGCGTTTGCCCATACGAAGTCACCACTCAAGAACCTTTTTATATATAATGTATATATGTGTATTGGTATTTAATTTTTGATTACTGTAATAATTTCTAACTAGTTATCTATTAAGGAGTGTAACCAACAAACTGTCATGTATTAATATGATTTGGTGAATTAATATAATATGTTGAAAAAGTTTATTTTGTGGATAAATAAATAAAAAATAATAAGTGTTATTTATTTATTTACTAGTCTTTACCCCCCCCCCCCCCCCCAACTTTATTTGTATCACTGAGATAAATTCATCATCATCTTATCAACCTTTAACTGTCTATTACTGAACATAAGCCTCCCCCTTGGGGCGTATGACAGTAGTTGCCACGCTTGGGAGGCGGTTTGACAAACGCAGTTAGGCTTTAGAGATGTTTAAGAGGAACACTGCTGCCCATCCCTCGCCTTCATTTAGTCGGCTCTTATGAAATTCATGGGAAAGGAAGGGATGGCCTGATCTATGCCGAGATCACACGGAAAACCGAGATAAATTAATTAAGTGGAAAAAATATTAGCCTACATTATTTTCCACATACGTTTATACCAAATTTCATGATGCTTGAATGAGTTATCAAAATTTTTTTTTATACAACTTAGAATGGCAAACAAGCTAACGGCCCACCTGATGGAAAGTGGTAATCGTCGCCTATAGACATGAGCAGTACCATGGACATAACAGATTATACTGTTTCACCCATGATACCCCCATGCGTTGCCATTCCTGAGGACTCAGGTGTTATTCTTCTGTACCCTGTAAATTCACGCCATATCCAATCCTTCAAATCGAAACACAGCCATGTAAACACAACTGCTTCACGGTAGAAACACGAATGGGACTGAGGTACCCAAGCAATCGACTTTTGTACAAAGTCTCATTATTTAAATAATTTAACAAATAAAGTAACATAATTTCATATCTATTTTTCATCTCGTTTCACATAGTTCGAGATTAAATGACGCTGTGTACCATCTCAGGGCAATTTATTTGTTATGATTAATATAAGGTTTGTCAAAAATGGAGTTGGCGGAGTCACTGAACAGGAAAGTATTTCGCTGGGTAAACATCGAAAGACGCGACATTGTAAATACCCTTTTTGTGTGAAGGATTATAAAGAATAAAAGGAAAAACATTGCTTTCAGCTAATTAAATTATCGAGCCGTATGTTAAATAACCACATGAATATAAGCTTTAATAAGATGAATGTCTGATATTTAAAATATAATGAGGATTTTTATGTTTATTGTGTACCAAAATATATATATTACAAGAAAAAATTACAGTCACAAATATATATTTATTGTAATGAAATGAAATAAAATATTTATTTTGCTTTAAACAAACATTTAACATAATAAAGGCCATGTGACAGAACTTTTTGGCATCTGTTCAATTGTCTTAAAATTGTAAGTATGAAAATGTAATGTATTAATTACATAAGAATATAAGTTTATACTAATGTTTGTGATTATTAAGATTAAAGAAAAAATAAACAAATTTAAATGAAACAAATAAATTTGTGTAAGTACATATTCAATATCGTCAAATTAAATTTATAATTACATTAATATTGTTAATAATTACATTCTCTATGTTATTCCATTAGCAAATTATAATTCATGTCAAGTCTTAATGTATTATTATCAATAATTATATCAACTATTTTTGGGAAGTGAAGGTATAATATTAGACTTAGTGAGACTCTAAGAGCTATAGATGAAGCCGGTTTTTAAATATTTTATTGTAATTTCTTTTATTATAGGTACATAGAATGGTAAACAAACAGATGACCCACCAGATGGAAAGTTCTATAAATAAATCTGAAAATATGAAAAATTATATTCTTCGTTCCGGACGACTATGGTGTTATGTCTCCATACTCATTAATTTCACTGCCATATCTTCATACTTAAATACAACCATGTTGCTTTATGAAAGCAATATGGGTAAATACATTAAAAACAAATACAGTTCTTTAAATATATAATATTAAAGATTTTTTATTATTAGGGAGGCAAACGAGCAGACAGTCCACCAGATATGAGAAAGAGGCTACTTTCGCCCATGAACATCTGCAATACGATAGGAGTTGCTTGTGCGTTGCTGACCTTTTAAATATATTCTAATTTGAAATGGCAAACAAAGAAAATTCTCACCATGATGATAAATGGTAACTGTCGCTTATAGACATGGATAGCATGTTGATTATTTATGCCTCAAAATCGCAAGTTTTTTTTTTATTTCAATACTAACCGACATTTCAGTGCTGGGGTGGTCAATAAATATTAATTCAGATTCTTCGCCATCAAGGAGCACCGACACCGATTTCTCGCCAAACTCGTCATCTGTAACAATGTGATATCCCTTTAGCAATTCATTTGCTATCTGTAGAGAATTATTCGAAGAGTATATCTACCAACCAAAGTCACAGACCAGACATCGAATGAAATAGATGTCGCAACTACATTTTAGTTTTCGAGTCCATTTAGGTCCTAAATTAGACGCAATGAAACGTTAATTTCGATTCGGAATTTCAATATAGAATGTATATAGTAAAATTTTATAGAATTGACAAAAATACCTTTACAGATGGTAATTTTAGAAGAGAAAGTGTTTGTTATTAGTAGAGTCAATTCTGAAGCAACATTCGCTGTCTGCATCTATTAAATTAAAATTCCAATTTGACATTCTCAAGACCAGTGCAAATAAATTTTTAGTAGTACTGAGTCAGAATTGTTTTATATTTAATACTTGATGGCAATATACGTAGTAAAATTAATATAATTTCTATATAAGTATAGGGAATTGCACTTCTGAATCAAACTTATAAATAACTTTTATAATAACAAGCAAGTTTAACTTAGTTTAGCTTAATTTTCTCATAAAAAAGTATTACTTGTGTCGTGTATCTGTATGTATATCTGTGGTTTCAGCGGTAGTACTTATGGAACTGCGCATTCCATGGAACATGGGTCGAAATAGGAAAATAATTTATTAACCCTTTACACAAACCAAGCGGTCACGTGATGGATTTATTAGGGCGAGTATTCATTAAGAGAAATCGCGTGCACTGCGATTAGGAACGGACATTACATTGATAAATATACTAAGATGTAATGTAAATATTACAAATATATACAAATAATCTATTCTAATATAATAACGCGTTAATCTTTATAATTGTCAGTTGGATTAGAATTTTTATAGTTTCATAAATATTAATATATCATGACACTGGTTTCTGATTGGTAGATATAATGCATCAGTCTATTTCTATTAATGTAATTTTATTACATATTACGTTTGGTTTTTTAATTTGTAATATAATAATAATTTATTATAGAAGGGGTGCTATATCTTTCAGTTCATTCAAACACAAGTAAATGAACTACATTATACTTATCGACGTTATATTATTTTATTTAAATGCTATCCAAAGTTAATCCTCCTCAAAGTTTTATATAAAAGAAAATATTCTAGTATTATCAAGCCCACATAAATATTAACATTCATCTACAGTGTAAGTACCTATAAGTATGCTACACTGTGTGATTTAAAAGTGTAATTTTTTACTCGTACACATACCTGAAAAAAGCACGATAATTAAACATTCAGAGTAAACAAAAAAGCGATGATTGTCAGGTGAAATTGTAATAAAAAAAACAATGAACATAGAATAGTATAAAAATCATTATATTCACATTTTCTAATAATAAAATATTAAGAAATAAATTGTTTAAAAAATTACAATAAAAATAAAATTTAATAAGATAAATAAAATAAGATAATTTTGCAAGAACTGATGCATTAATTATGCAATCATAAAACGTTTATATATTTATATTTCACCAGTCTATGGCAAGAATTATAAATTATATATACTTAAGATTTGATTTTTGTTGTGTGTTTATATATTTGTAATGGATAAACTCAAACTTTCCAACTAATTTTATATATTCTTTCACTTATAGAAAGCTATATCATCATCGAGTAACATAAGCTATATATTTTTTAAATACAAATCTCTATGAGAATTACAATAATGGAACCCAAAAATTTTTCCATTAAAGCTAATATAAAATACTAATTTCACTTTTTATATATTTACCTGTACAAAGCCAGAGCAATCGCTAGTCTTGAATAAATACGATATATTGAATAATAATATGATGGTTTCAAACATACTTATTTAAGTAAGCAATAAAAGATTTGGTCTGCAAATATGGACCTTTTACTATGTATACTCTCTATACGCATAAATAACATAGAACACGATGCGTGAAAGCATTGGGTAAGAATTTGTAAACATTACCTTCCCTTCCAACTAAGAATGTACCAAAAATTTAACCCACACTTAAGTATTTGTATAAAGCCATAGAGAGACACACGTCTACACAAATGTAAGTGTCTTTACTTATTAGGAGTGGGTAATATATAAAAATATTTATATATCTTTTCACTGAAGTCAATTTATTTGATGCACAAACAAACCTGGTTTTTCGAAATATATTTTTATTAAATCATTTCGAGGAGGTATCATAAATCTATTAAGCTACGTGCGCCGTAAGCTAACTTTGTAATTGGAATATTTACTCCGTCATATATATTTGAGGTAAAGTAATCGATTCGATTCATTGCTGTGTTGTGAATTCTCTTTATAGATATTTTGATAGTCATATATTTTATACTAGTATTGTAGTGCTATTTACATCTGTAGGACAGTAGTTGCTTTCCATCTGGTAAACAATCAGCTTGTTTGTTAATCTATCATAAAAAAACTAACCTAAAATTTAATGACAGTATATAAAAAAAACATTTCTCAAGATACATAGTTAATAAGTGAGTATTTTAAAATTTTCCTTTCGATCGCGCAGTTTACATGAAAGCTAGTAGCTTTTAATAATATTTTGATACCATAATTAATTTTTTCCTTCTTTAATTGTTGTTTGGTTCCGTAAACACTATTAGTGGTTTTAATATATTTATAATTATGCCCTTAGTATACCTACTGTTTCTACTAACCCTCTATACTGGGTCAGAAAACATTGTTAATGTTATATAATTATTTCAAATTATTTACCACGATTTATAAATAAAAGAATTATTACCGCAATAATTCTGATTATATGATTTACTTTTATTTAATATGTATCTAACACTGCTCTTTCAGATATTTCTTTAATTTTTTTGCATTGTTATACAGAATATATTACTGTAATGAATAGACATATTTACTTATTTAAATAAATGTAATATATGTATATTGAAATACACACGAACGAGAAAAGAAAAAAATGCTAATTTTGATTATATGATATATTATTAACATTTATATAAATAAAAATACAAAGATAATAAACAACACTTGTTGATATACTTAGAAATATTATGAAACTTAAAACAAAATTGCGTATATTAAATATAATTATTAATAACATAGATAAAGTAAATAAAAAGTAATCAATAATATAATAGTTAAATAAAAATTAAATATAATTTATTTTGATTAAATGAAGCAACATAAAAAATTTAGTCTAAAGGTAAAATACACCGGCATTCAGAAAAAAAAGCTGTTATGGACAATTAGGTTAATATTACACAATAAAAAAATATATTAATTTTATAAAAATGAAAATTTAAATTAAATCTTTATTTTAATTAATTTTGACTTTGGATTTAAGCTACAATTTTATGTCACTACTACAAACTCATATGTATGATCAGGCAAAGAAAAACAAGTCATAAATGCAGGTTCGGCTAAGGCAAACTTATTTGGACACATATTAGGGGTATCACGATGAACTTACCGCGTTTTGCTTCGCCAATTGTGAGCAAGCAAAAAGAAGTTTTGTTATTTACAAAAGAGTTAGCGTTAGCCAGCCACACAGAAGTTATTTTAAGGGTGCTTATTCACCAAGAGTATTAACGTGTAATGTTACAACTCAAAATGTATATTACATCAAATATACTAAAATACAACATTATTGTTACATGGCATAATACATGCTCGTGTAATGTATAATCCATTTCAATAGAACTTAATGAAAAGATAACTAAATGAAATTAATGTCAAATTTAAACATTAACACAATTAATCAATGTATTATTTAATTTCTATCACTGCAAAGTATCTTATTGTTTGATCGATTGTTATTTTTTTATATTTTCATTAAGCCATATTGAAACGAATTATAACATATAATTATGTAACATTACATGAGCCTACTCCGATGAGTACACACCTTTATATCACGGGCGTATGCGTAGGCGATAGCGAAATATTAAATATTACATAGAATTCAATCAGCTTTTTGCAATCAAATCTCTTTAAGTCATTTTCAACACCAATTAGTTAATTTATTTTAAACATATTTTATTATAAATTTAATAGATCAACGAAATATATAATTCCTTACCATTTAAACTTTAACCTTCAATATTTTATGTGAAAACAAATTAACTGTTTGCCATTTATGCAAAATTCATTCGCTCCCACCTCCGCTCTGCTTTTACTAATTCAAAGCTTACACTAACAGCCCGAAGCGTTTTGAAGTAACTTCATTCCATTTGTATTTATAATTAGAACTAGTTTTATACTGTTACAAGAAGTACCAATTTTACCATTTGACTTTATTATATTTATTATAAACAAAAGCTTATGTTATGAGTACAGTAAGAGAACAAAAATATATATTTATATAGAGTAATAATGCAACCAAAATCGTCAACGATAGGGTAATTAATTATATAGGTAAATTTGTATTAATTAATGTTATACTAAAGAATTATAAAAAAAAAAAAACTTGAGAAAAAAACTGTTACAAGATACAGTTAAGTGATAATAATATTAATTTAAAATAGTTCATTACGTTGCACCGTCAATTATATTTTCTGTTATTCCTGTCTACGGTAGATAACGCCATAATATCATGTTAAGTCCACCATTTTAACTTCCTAGGTGTATTAAAGTTTAATAAATAAATAATATAATAATGTGACTCATAAAAAAAAACTAAATAATCAATCAATTTAAAAGTTACACTTTATTACATAAGTCTAAAAAAAGAAATATATCAAAATGATTTTTTCGAAATAGCTTATTAATTACATACACGTATTTTATATGGTACAAGGCGGACAAAATATATTATAATAATATTACAATTGTACACTGCTGTATTCGCTGACATTGATGCTCCTTTCCACTTTGGGTTTGCTGGAAGAAAACTCTATCAGAGTTAAACTCGCCTTTGTACTTTTGTTTACCTCTGTCATATTTTTATAGCTAATGTGTACAATAAAGTATAAAAAAAATATTTTTCATTTATTCCCTACAACTATGGAA